TGCCTGTTGTTGGTCGACGGGCGAGAAGGGTGAGGCTGCAGCCGGTCCTCGACCCGCGCTCGCACTAAGGGTGGTTGGCGTTGCTTGGGGCTCAAAGGTCGATAAAGAGATGGCCTGTCGTCATCGCCGTTTCCTTCTCGATACAACTGCATGCGGCTCTCTCTTTGGCCTCCGTCCTCACTCCAAGTCTTCCGTCCCTTGGCCAGATCACTTTCGGTAGTTCTTCAGCCGCGTGGCCAAGTAATTCTGGACGTCCATCACTTCCGTATTAGACGGTCCCAGCAGGGCGGATATCCACAAGCCAACGTGCCTGCTCCGGAGCCTTCTGCATGCGATCTACTCCATGCGTTGCGCCAGCCACGCGAGGTTCTGGCCGACACACTCAGACATATTGACAGATAGGGTCTGTAAGCACTGGGTCTTCTTGAGATCCTCAAGCCCAATTGGAGCCAATTCTGGTCAAAGTGATCGTCCTCTTCGGCTTCGACGAGGTTTTCGATTGACAGGAACAGACAGCCATGTCTGGAATGTGAGACACCCTCCCGAACGCGGCAAGCAACGGCCTCCTCATGGCAGCCCCCATTGGCTACGCGCACACCGCCTACTAAGTTTCTTGGCAACAGGTATCGTCAGAAGAATACCTGGATATTGGGATTCAAGCCGTCATTGGGACACGCTGTTGGCCGTTGGCCAGACTTCTGGGAAGACCGATATTGCATGGTTACACGGAAGTGCGGGAGTAGAAAACAGTCGAGCCTGGCTACTGGACGACACGTGGAGACGATTCTATCGCCGGCACGCTCAAGTCGATACGTGCGGGACTATCGCAACTGATGAAAACATGCTAGAAGTGAATCCACTTGGTGTCGTTGAAGAGACCGTGAGCCTCTGCCTAGCCCGGAGCAAACTCCGTACGCAGCGACACTTGTAATAGCGGCAACCATTGGGTACCCCCGCCGGCACTTGTCCATCAACCATATTTGTATGGGGGGTGTTCGTGTCCGAATCGTCCGTCCCAACTTTTCTGATTCGGTGAGCTCGGTGGACTACACCTTCCAGAGAGATCGAAGTGGGATCGGCAATGGGATCCACTCAAAGTTGAGTTGTCCGGGGTGCGTTGCATTGAACCAGGGACCAATCAGCTATGCTATGACTGACACGACTTCATCTCTGCTAGAGAGTTGTCTTCGGAACCTTGCGCCGCAAAGCCAAACACTTGCTTGATGACCTACTTGTGCTTGTCCGTTTATTAGAGCGATGTCTTTCGCTCAATAATCCTGACCATGCTGTCGGATAAATCGCAGAGACGGCAACGATAGCCGATCATGGACACTAATGCTAGCCATCGGAAGCTCTAGATAGCCTCCTTAGGCTTGAAGAATGCCATGTGGCTTGGAACCACGGCGGCGGAACTTTGCGTCTGTGCCGTTTCTGTCCTCGACGTTGTCGCCAGCGGCGTCCTTGGTGTGCCCCTCTGGCGCGTGGAGGCGGACACGTTGAGATCAGGACGGCGACGTCTTGGCGAAAGCAGAATGAGAGGGCGCTCGAGTAATTTACGGCCGTTGTGACGATATTGCTCGCCGTGTGATGAGATTTGCTGAGATAGCTTCGCACATCGTAGCAGCAGCCATTACACGGTGACCATGCGGTGCCTCAAGGTGCCGTGTAATCCTTGATAGACCTATGTTTTGTCAGCTGAGTGAGAGCTCAACCCAGCTGTCAAGGAAAGTGTTCGGAAAGAATGGTTATGATGGAGGGCCACTGGGCAGGCGACGAGAACGGTACATAATGGACAACCTAGCCGCCCGAGGTCACGTATGAACTCGGCATGTCAGCTGGCCGCCTGCAATTTGGTGTCCACGAACGGCGCCCCGGGTGATCGGCCGCATCGGGATCATCGGAGATGCAATGATCCCGGAGAGAGCGGGGGATGCGGAGAAGTGGCACACACGCAGATCGGATCGATGGATGATTGGTCGTGGAGACGGTGGGAGATGCCTCGAGCAGGCTCGAACAGGACCATTTCATGTGGTCTGCTTCCTAAAACGCTCCTGTTGACACCCACCTACATGTAGGCGATGGCATGAAGTGGGTTGAGTCGGGCTGGAGAGGGCGGGAACAGCGTTCTATGCTCAAGCGAAGGAAACGTGTTAGAGCTGAGCAGCTGGCCGGTTGAGAGAATAATCCGGGGGAAATCCGGGTCGAAGTGGAGGCTTGTGGTGAGTTGTCATCATTAGAGGGGTTGAGGGGCTGGAATGTCATGTGGTGAGGGGGGAAAGGACTTCACATGCCAAGATGCGAGCGAAGAATCGAGGGCTGCTGTCAACCAGAGGAGCTGTGGCACCGCCGCTACTCCGATGGATTTGGGATTTGAATGATTGATCAATGAGGCGTGGCAGCTGCAGGTCTCAGTAACGAGGAAAGGTGGGAAGGCGATAGGGACACATGTTGAGAAGAAGGGGAGAAGAAAATGGACGAGAAGAGGCCCATGTGGCAGAGCTAAGCTGCTGGAACAGTTGGGAATGCGCAGATTGTGCTAGCGATGCGCGGGCGTGGGGGCGGGATGCCTTGGATGGGACGGGATGCTGACGACATGGGACGAGACGGCGGTGACTGCCTTCGTGAACAATTGGACGATGGGCAGGTGCCTGATGTGAGGCTTGCAGAATGCAGCAGGAGGGGAGGTGGTGACAGGTGCAAGGAAGGAAAGAAGCACTCGGTTGAACGCTTCGACGCAACATGCCCGGCCCTTTCCTGTCTGCACAGACCTTCCATTGCCGACAACCTACTCGGCCATACCTTCACCGCGTTGCGAAATGCCTCATCTCATTCATATGAAAAAGAGGGAAGAACAAAAGGGAAAAACGAACTTCTGCAGCGCTGCAGGTCTACCTGAAATGAGCTAAGGCGGCTTTACGGAGGTAAGCTGCTTCGGAGGCTGCCTGGCCCGGAGAACAAGCGGAGGCCATGACAGAGCCTGTGTAGATGCGTCTGAGCACCTGTATGAAGTGCAGTCCGAACAGGCGGGATCATCCCAGGCATTTACCCGTCCCAGACTTTTCCAAACGTAACGCTCGACTCCCAAACACCTGGCAGAGAGAACCGGAACGCCCAAAATAGAGGGAGGATCGCTGTATGTTTGGCCCCAAGCAACTGGGGCCGCCGCCGCGTCGTGAGTTCGTCGGCAGCAGGTCTCAGTGCATGCCAGGGCAGGGCATAGCGGCGATGAAACGGGTGCCCAATGACAGTCAAGGGGGGCGGCAAAGTATTTGTACATGCATCTGCATCAAGTTGGAGAAACGGCAAGCGACAACCGCAATGGATGGTCAGGCATGGTGAGGCGAAGGGAGGTGTGCCTGTTCTTGGTTTCGCACAGCATCATGCTCGTTGGTGTCAGACAGCTCTGGTGTGGTAGCATTGCAGCTTTCTCTTCAGCTGTTCAGGCCACCTTGCCAATCCTGCCGGGTGGAAATGGCAAGGCATGGATTGCTTCTCTGGCGATTTTGTCGATACCTGACTTCCATTCTTTGGTCCTTTGTCTCGTATTGTTTGGCGAAGGTGGCCATCGTAATATCGACACAAGATACCGGTTCGGCAAATTGGGCATTCCGCAATAGCCTTCGATAGTGCTCCCCTACCTACCCCAAATCTTGCAGCCCCGTCCATCGTAATGAGGTCTGGATACGCCGATACGGGTACGCTGTGGGAATCCCCCAAACCCCTTTTGCCCCTCTCCCAGCACAGGGCTGCAGGGATAGGAGATTCGAAGTTCAGACCGGGCCACGCTAGCCCCCAAAGGGGCGACCGAGTGGTGGGAATCCCAGACTCCCTCCGTGCTGGACGTGCGACTAAGCAAACGCGCGTTTCCGCTGCGAGCCGGTGCATCGGACGCTGGGACGGCTCCCCGAGATTAATCATTGCCATCTTTGCAGCCATACAGGTGAATGTCTCCCTCTCTACGTCGCATCGCGTCTTTCTTTCGCACATGCTTGAGACTCAGATACACGAGACCAGGGCACCGCGCCATGTGCATTTCTTCAGGCATAGGTAGTCTCTGGCACCTGCAGCGTAGCCAACGCTTGTCTGAGCATGTGTTCCAGCTGCATTTTTGTTTTCAGCGTTTTCTCCTTTTCATTAGGCCTCTTCATTAGGTGACCAGAACATGGTTGGAGACTCGATCTTGAGATGGAATGAAATGAGAGAGTCAACCTTTTCCGATCATTTGATTTGTGACTCAACTGGCCAATAGCAGGACGATGGAGCTGGGTGATGACGACAATCGCAGGATTGGAGGGTGGTATTGTGGGTAGGTCGGTCCAAGGTATCATCAGTAGGAACTTTGCCGTAAGGTGGAAAACAACAGCAAGCTCACGTCGCCCGCCATCTCGGCCCATTGTCCAGCACCCACCTCCAGCTCCAGTGTGCTGCAGTCGTCAGTCCGCAGTCCGTCCGGCAAGCGCTCCCGCCCCGTGGCACCTCTCGCTGCTGACCTGCACCACTGTCACCCTCACCACCCATGTCCTCCACGACCTGGGAAGCGCGATTTTCACAGGCCAGCCACGTCCCTAATTTTTTTTCCCTTTATCCACCCGGGGCCTCTTGGTGCCTTTCCTCTCATACGGAACCCAGCACGCTTCAATCTACCCACGCTCACACCCCCGGTCCGACTCGTCGTCCCCTGTGTTGGCTTGGCTTGGCTAGACCTTGACTGGAATCTGCTTCTGTCGGGTGTCTTGTCTGCCACACCCTTCCTTCGCCCGCCGCTGGTTCTACTTACGCCAGCTTCCACCTTATTTTCTCCAATGCCTTACTCCTTCCTTGCTTTTCGCGATCCTAACCGACGACGCCGACGTCCGATTCTCCTTTCAAGATCTTGACGCGCCGCCTCCAAATAGCTATATTCAACCTCGATGCTTTTTCGCTGCCACACGCTGCTACCAGCCACCAGGTAGTCTTTCCTCGACTTCCCTTGCTCTCCGGGCCCCGAGCCCCCCGACGCCATGAACGCGATCCAGCAAAAATGTCGCCCGAAGCATCAGGTCTTGGTCCTGAAGTGCTATCCGCGGACGACAAAGGGCGCTGTTGATGTCAAGCCTAATTCCAGCGAGCTGAGCTACTTGCTGTTCTATGCTACTTCGCGCCGCTCCAAAATCCAGAAGATTGGGTCCTTTCTGGAGAAAAAGACAGCCAGCGATGTCTGGCGTCAGCGCATCGGGTTCGCCCCCTGTGACTTTCGAGATATGAGCCCTTTGCTGACCGTTTCTCGCTCAGAAATGTTCAAGTGACTCTGCGAATCCTTACGGCCTTGATCGAAAAGGCCCCGAAGGACCTGCCACTCGTCGCTCCCAATGTGTTGAAAATTCTCGACCTCATCCTCGGCTCCAAGGATATAACCATGGTCGAATCATCTATTCCTACTTTCGAAGCCTTCTGCGAGAACCACGATACGTCGTCTTCCTTCGCCGACCAAGCCTATCTCGCCCAATACGAATCCATCGTCCGCACTTATGCCTCCCTCGCCTCCACCCGCCAAAACCCTGGAAAGGGAGCCTCCAGCAAACCCGTGCTGATGCGGTGGAGGAACGCTGGCTTGGAAGCAATCAGGAGCGTGTCCTCATCTGAGGCGTTATCATCTGTTACTGGCCGTCAGTTTGATGTTATTGTTCCCGTCATACTGGACAATCTGTGGTGGGACGATGACGAGCTTCTGGAGACCATACTTGGGCGGATACGGATGGAGGAGAAGGTCCAAACAGAAAAGCTTCGCCGTAGGACGAGCGTTGCGACTCAAGGGACTGGCGAAACAGGCGAGGCAAACCCCATTGCCTTGACAGGAACGGCCATGGACGTCGACAAGCTCGCCGAAGAGGATGTTGGTGTGCTCGCCTTGCAGTGCTTGAAGCAGATCTTCATCACGCCCAACCGACCGCAAATCCACTCCGCCACGGCCGCTCTTTTCCAGTTCATCGAGAAACGTGTTGCAAATGGCGACTCCGTTGTCAAGACAGACGAGAAATCCGCCAAGGATCACGGGTGGGCAATCAGTGTTTACGACACCGTTGCACGGTGGGCGCCGGTACAGGACCGTTATGTTATCTTGGTGACGGCTTTGGATCATCTTGTAAAGGCCCCCGTGAAGGACGACAATCTCAAGATTCATCTGGTCTTGACCGCCATGATTGGTTCTTTGCTGCGGTCCGACGTCAATCTCATCGGACTCAGCGCAATGGATGTCTTGCTGGGTCTGATTCAGCACATGAAGAAGCTCATCCAACTACCTGGAGGGCTCAGTAAGGGGGAAGCAGAGATCGACGGAGGGCCACCTTCCTCGCCTCAGGCTTCTGCAGAAGTCGCTGCTCAAAGGCGGGAACTGCTTGACCGCATCCAGTCGTGCATTGGGGACTTGGCAACACACGTTTATTACGCGGATCAGATTTCAGACATGATCTCGACGATTCTACTGCGACTGAAGCCTTCCAAGCCTTCAAGCGCCAATTCGTCGCCCCAGGGAGAGAACGCCGAGCCAGTTTCACAGGATGACGCAAACGGGAGCCAAACTTCGCATCTTGAGACATACCTCTCACGCAATGTGGCCAAGACCGCGGCCTTGAAGGCCATCAAGAACATTCTTCTTGTGGCCAACCCGAGGGCACAGATGTCTGGCAACCTGAATCTGTCAAGAAATAAGGTTCCCATCCAAACATGGGAAAACACGCAGTGGCTCCTGCGCGACCCGGATGGCGAGGTCAGGAAGGCGTATGTTGATGCGCTGTTAACATGGCTCGACCGAGAAACCACAGCGGCAGACTTGAAGGCTCGGGATGAGAACGCTCAGCACCACCGATCGTCATTGAAGAATAGCCGCGAGCTCCAACCCGGCAGCGCCGCTCAGCGGGCTGCCTCCAGCGCTTCCAACAACCGAGACAAGCCTTCCCGGCATCGCTCGCACTTCCTGCAGCTTCTCCATATCGCCATCTACGACAATGCGTTGCAGTACGTTGACTACGACTACGATATGGTTCTGCTGCATGTGCTCCTAAACAAGTTGGTAATCCGACTGGGCGTTAATGCAGTTCAGTACGGATTGCCCATGGTTTTCCGTCTGCAGGAAGACATTCCCGACGCTGAGACACCTGTGCAGAAGGTACGCCTTGGCAGTCTCGCCCATGGGTACTTCTGGGCCGTTACCGAACGATTCGACATTGAAAACTCCGTTGTCGGTCGTGCGATTACGAACGAGGTCATTCGACGCCGCAGCAAGCACTTTTGGACCGAGGGCGTTGCCATCCCGCCACCACCAATGGAGACTATCACTCCAGGCGTGCCCACGTCGCTCACCAAGATGCCTGCCAACGAGGTCGAGTCAGAAGCCCTCTTGCCATTCGATGACCGAACATCACTCGTTGAGAGCATTGCTGCAAGCTACATCGACACCAGTATTTCACCACCATCTAGCCCACCTCAATCTCCCGGACGCAACTTTTCTCATCCGATCCTTAGTTCGTCGCTTAGCACAGTTCCTGCTGTTCCTGGAAACGAGTTGCCCACAGTGTTTCGCGAGCACATGCTAGCGGAATGGTCGAAAGAGTCGGCGATGCTGGCCCTCCAAGCGGGAAGCAAGTCGGAGTCGTTGGCTGGCTCAAAGACCGGCACTATGGGAACCAACCGACACTTGACGGTCAATGGCGCTAACGGCCACACGGGGGCTTCCTCACCGGCTGGCAGCCAGCAAGGCCTGCGTCCAAACACCGCACAGACACACGGTGGCTTGTCTCCCATGAGCAAGCTGCGCAAGAGCAGTGTCCGCAGTGGTGTGTCGCCGTCTCCCTCTGATTCTAGCAGGGGCATTGTCGCGTCCGTCGACCAGCTCAAGGCTATTCTCACAGGGCAAGTACCAGCGACACCAATAGGCACCTCGGCCGGGCTGCACCATGACAGTGATAGCGACAGCATGGTCAGCTACGACTTCACGCCATCTGAGCTCAGCTTCAACCCGGCGACTTCACAGGGAGAAAACGGCGGTGGGGCATCGCTAGGCCGCACACGATCGGCGTCGCAGTCAAGCAAGGGCGGGCCACTAAACTCCAACCCGCTGTATGAGCAGAATGAAGGCGAGGAGGTGCCGCCAGTGCCGCCACTACCAGGGCACATCGGCGGGCTCACTTCTTCGATATCCATCCAGGATTATGCGGTGAAGCCGGCAAGGAGGGATCTAAGCAGCAGGGGCGGTGATAGTCTGTATCACGGGTCAAATAGAGGAGACATGTCGATGGTTTCGGGAGGAGGAATGGATTTGCACGAGCTTCTTAATGGGATTGACAGCCGAGCAGGGGAGCTCAGCTTGGGGAATGTGACGAAGCCGCCTTACTAATGGATTGGGGCGAGTTCAAAATTTGTATTACTACTACACCTGGGCGTAGAAGTTTAGCGAGGCGCGATGCCGAGTGTTTGCAGCTTTAAGAAGCGTAGCTATAAGAAGCATTGTTCAAAATTGGCTCTGTTAAATTGAACGTGAGGGTATGCTCCGACAATCATGGACGATAACGACGGTAGCACTGCCTTTCAGTCTCGTACACCGATCGCTCACCGAACTCATCGTCCGAGCTAGTTCCCGTCTGATGTCACCCATGCATGCAGCCAATCAGACCCCTGTTCACGGGCGGAAATCGCCGCGAAGCTACCAAAAAATGATTGACGTCCAGTTGTACATTGCGCGCCGTAGCTTCAACAGTTTCTACACCACACTCCAACTTCCCTCGGTGCGGGTGTCGCAAAATACACATACAATGAAGCCGACAGCACGCCTACCTCTGCGCCTGCTCGCAGCCGGCAGCAGCAGCAGCTCGCCCTTGGCGGGACGACAATGCCTCCGCGCAATCTCGACGACCCCTCTCAAGCCCGCCGAGGTCGCCCCCGTAGTCGGCACGGGACCGCCGCCGGCGCCGCCCACCGCCGAAGACGACCGCACCGCGGAGCTGCGCGCGCGCGTGGAGCGCAGGAGGAGGCAGGCCGAGATGCTGAAGCAGGCGACCAACATCCGCGCCGCGGCGGACGCCAAGGCCGGAGGAGCGGCGGCCAGGGCTGCTGGGCTGAAGAGGAGGTTCTGGAACGATGTTAGTGTGCACGAGGTTGACGGTACGCATGCATTCTTCTTCCCCGGACTCTAGATCGAGAGAGAGAGGCGGCTTCTAACAATATGATCCAACAGGCGCCCTCCAAATCCATCTCGACGCCCGCCCCCTCCGCCACCCCGTCACGAAAGCCATCGTCCGCCTGCCCCCTTCGAAGCAGCACCTCGCCTCGGCCCTCGCAATCGAGTGGGACCTCCTCACCTCCGCGCAGCAGGCGACGAAGCAGCACCTGATCCCGCTGACCTCGCTGGTCTGCCGCGCGCTCGACATCGCCGCCGACGACGCCGGCCCCGCCGCCATCCGCCAGCAGATCGCGACGACCGTCATGCGCTACCTCGACACGGACAGCCTGCTGTGCTGGGCGCCGCCGCCGGGCGCGACGGACACGCGCAACGAGGCCGGCGAGAGCCTGCGCGACGTGCAGAAGCGCACCGCCGAGGCCGTCGTCGGGTTCCTCACCACGCACGTCTGGCCCGGCATCGAGATCGGCCCCGTGCTGGACGGGGATGCCATCATGCCCCAGCCGCAGGCCGAGGGCGTGCGGGAGGTCGTGCAGGGCTGGGTCATGGGCCTGGACGCGTGGGAGATTGCCGGGCTGGAGAGGGCTGTGCTGGCGGGCAAGAGCCTGATCGGGGCGGCGCGGTTGGTTGTGGAGTGGAGCGAGGGGCCGAACGCGGGCCGGGTGGACGGGGTGGAGCGGTTCGGGGTCGAGGAGGCTGCGACAGCGAGCAGTTTGGAGGTGTCGTGGCAGACTGGCTCGTGGGGCGAGGTCGAGGACACGCACGATGTTGAGAAGGAGGATCTGAGAAGGCAGTTGGGCAGCGTTGTCCTGCTTGTCTCTGGCACGAACCGCAAGTGAGGGATGAATAAAAGAAAATAGAATTGTACATCAGAAGCAGCTCGTTTAGGGCTGGTGGGAGTAATTGACAAAAGTGGACATGACAAAAGAAATACTCCAAGGGAAGCATGAGGGGAAAAAGTATCGACAGCGCTAGGTTTCGGACTGGGGCGCTTGAGAGGATAACCACGATCTCTGTGTCAGCTGGCATACTGGTTCTACCATACTGGGCATATTCACAGCCGCTTATTCCAACTCGGTTGTTGGGAGTCTTGGGCACTTGCCACCCTTTATGGCGTGGGGTGGTCAAAGGTGAACTGGAGGTCAGTTACCCGCACCCCGAGGCCCACGTCACATCTCCCATGCCTGCCTACGAGTCTTCACAGGTCGACACGCAGCCGATGTCAGCATACGCAAAACTGCAATGAGGGCACACATCACTATCACAACATTCAGGATAACAATCGTCTCGTCATTGATCAATCCCTAAAAGCCCACCACCAGCTCCCTCGAGCCGCTAGGTCCGACTTGTTGCAACAAAAAAAGGTAGTAAAACTCTCTCAAAACAGAAAATCAACCGAGAAGAAAAAGGAAGACTCCTATTGATCCCCTTTGCATTTCATCTCTCCCCTTTTTGTTTCCGAGCCAGCTCGCCCGTCTCGATCATCAAAACGTCTCGTCTTTTTTGCCTTGAAATTTTCTTCGTCTTGACCAACGTCCGAAACAAGCACTCTCGGAACAAGTAAAACTGCGGGAAGCGTAGAACCGCACAAAAATATTGTACATTATTTTAGAGAAAGGAAAGAAAAGAAGCAGCGTTAAAAAGCAGGCACGTATGCCAACTTTGCCAATTCATCCACCCATCTTAAGAGAATAAAATAGACCTTGTCGCGCCCCATCTTGCTTTCGTACGTGTCCACGGCCAAAGGAGCAAGCAGAACTGGTCGTGATTGTAGTGTATCATCAGAAAAGTCCATGCGCAGAGAAAAGAAAAAGGAGAATCAAAATCAAAAAGCGCGGGGGGAATTAAAGCGAAGGTTGTTTCGTCATGAATACGTGGAATCATTGCGAAACCAAGACCGGAGTCAACCAGAAGCAGCGGTGCATGAAAAGCAAAACCCCAAAATCCCGTGAACTCCTCCCGCCTGGGAACAACTGCCCCGAAGCAGTCAAAGAATGTACAGTAGGTAATGGAAGACGCCTGGCGGCCGTCATGAAGCGAAGCGAGAGTTCATCCGCCGCAAAACGCCAGACTAAGGCCGGTCGGGTCGGCTTTTGGTCTTCGCTCGGTCGTTATCCGCCTGCTCGTCAACGTCAAGACGCTTCCGCCAGTCGGCGAGGCTCTCGCTAAGACCCAGTCCGACCTCTTCGTCTTTCCTCGTGGGAGTTGTGGCACCCTCAAAGTCAAATGTGTTGCTCAGTCGGTAGTTCTTGTTGGTGGCTTCCCAGTGAGTGCGCAGGGTCTCGAGTTCGTTGGCCAAGTTGTCCAAAGCAGTGCTGTTGCGCCCTTCGACACCGCCAGCACCGCCGTAGGAGCTTTCGGCGTCAGAGCTGTCCTGACGCTGGTGGCCAATGCTGTTCCCGTTGGTGGGCCTAGCCGTCTCCTCCGAAGTCATGCTGGGGGCCTGTCTGCTCTGGCGACGGTAGCTGTCAACGGATGACTCGACTTGGTCCAAGAGAAGTGAGACCTTCTGCTCGGCGTCCTGAGCTCGGCGCTCGAGAAGGTTGTTTTCCTGCTGGAGCTCTTCCAGATCTCGGCGGTTCACGGCTAGCTTGCGAGAGGCCTCTTCGGCGTCCTTGAGGGCACCCTCGCGCTGCTTCTTGCTATCCTCCAACTCCTTCCTGACGGTGAGCAGCTGGTTCTCGAGCTTCTCGGTCGAAGCTTGAAGGTCTTCCTCGAGGCTCTCGATCTTCTCCTGCAGAATATGGCGCTCACTCTCCCAGTTAGCAGGGGCATCTCCTCCAGCGTTGCCACCAGAAGACTCCACGCGCTCCTCGAGCTCAAGGAGCTCGGACTTGAGACGGTTGTTCTCAGTCTTGTATCTAGAGAGCTGTTCCTTCAGCTGCTTCAGCATCTTCTCAGTGCCCTTAACATAGTGCACAGCAGACTGATAGTCGTTCTCAAGTTGGGTGAGCTTCTCGCGATAGGCGGCCTCGGTGGCCTCCTGCTGCGCGACCGCGCGTTGCGCGCTTTCTTCCTGAGCAGTGGTGGCGGCAGACAGTTGATCCTCGAGATCACGGATGCGTGCCTGCTCCGGAGTGTTCACACGGGGGCTGCCGATGCTGCGAGTCCGGGCCATGTTTGTGGGGCTAATACCGCGCTCTACGAGAATATCCTTGAGGGTGTTGTGTTGCACCGTCATGGCATTGGTCTCCAGCTGCTGGTTCTGGAGTTGATGCTTCAGGTCCGAGTTCCTAGCCTGCAGAGACTGTGTCTCTCTCAGAGCAGCCTGAAGCTGTCTTCTGATGGCTACACCCTCACGACTGGATTGTTCTTGGTAAACCTCGAGGCCGGCGATGCGCTCCTCGGCAGTGCGAAGCTTGTCGGCGGCTGAGTCTGCCTCCTGTTGGTATTTCTTGACCAGTGCGTTGGCGGCACTGAGCTGCTGCTGCAGAGCCTTGAGCTTCTCCGAGTCGGCCTTGCCGTCGGATCCGAGATCTCTCGTGGTAACCTTGTCGAAGCCGGCGAGGATGGCCTGTTGGTGTGTTCTAGCCTCATTGGCATGCTTCTCGGCCAGCTCCTCGGCATCGCGCAGCCTCTGTGTCGCCGCCACAAGCTCGGCAGTTCTAGTCTCATGCTCTGACTTGAGCTTGGTAAGCTTAGACTCAAGCTTCTCCCGTTGTGCGCGTTCCTCCTCCAACTTGCTCTCGAGATGCGCCTTCATTTCCACGGACGCTGCCATCGCCTCGCGCAGAGAGTCGAAGGTGTTGTTTTGCTCCTTCGAGTTACCGACTGATTCGTTGTACTTCTTTTCAAAGTCCTCTCTTTCAACCTTCAGTAGTTGCATGGCCGCCATGGCCTCCGTGTACTGCACGGCCTGTTCCCTCGCCTCTTTCTGAACCATGTGCAACTCCGCCTTCAATTGCTCCAAATCCGTTGAAGTCATGGTCTTGTACGACTCGAGCTCACTCATGCGCTTCTGAGAAGCGTTCGTTGTGTCGTCAGCGAGCTGTCGGGCGCGTTTCTCAGCTTCAAGTTCAGATTTCAGCATTTCCACCTGGGCTTGGAGATCCTTCTGGTAGTTCAAGGCGTAAGCCAGCTTGCGGCTGATTTCGGTTGAACGGTCGTCAACATCCCGCTCGCCATCAAGCTGCGGCGTGCTTGCAACGCTGCCGCCAACTTGGGCAACCAGCTTGGCCTTGGCGTAGACAGCTTCTTGAATGGCAGCGTCGCGTTGCTTC